TGCAATTGCTGGGTCGTAGGGTAGTTCTTTTTTTAGATTTTTGAGGAACCTCCATACTGTTTTCCGGAGTGGCTGCACCAGCTTGCATTCCCACCCCAGGGAACTTCTTAAGGAGCTAATGATTCAGGTAGTTTTGACAGTACACAAGAAGTCCAGCTGTGTTAGAGTTTACTATTTTTCCTGCTTGCACTAGAGATGACATGTACAGGGCTCTGGAAAACAAGGTCATTCTATTACTTCTTCTTTGCTGAAGCAGCAGGAATATGCTGCAGTACAGTGTAGAAGCAGGTATCCCTCATCCTTTAAAAATTCCCCAGATGAAATACATAGCCCAGAGAGGAGAACGTTTAAGGGAATGATCAGTGAGAGAAAAAAAACTCATGGTTGGCTCAGAAGAAAAGGGGAGGCAAAGGGCCTGAGTCCTTGGGGCAAGAACAGTCCTAGCAACACCCATACCCACCAGCCAATCTGCTCTCACCCTCCAGACTCTAGTGCCCTTCTAGCTTCCATCGCACGGACACATCCTGAGCACCTACAATGCAACAATAAATCCCATTGGACCTCACCCTCGTGGCAGTCTAGCAGGAGATGATACAGTGCAAGAAGGCCTGCTCCCTTACTTCATGCAGGGCTCTGTTCAAATGTCACCTTCTCAGAGAAGTCTTCCCTGACCACCATATCCAGCCAGCTACTACTCCCCTCTACCACTCTATCATCTGACCTGGTTTTATTTTTCTTCGTGGAACTTCTCACCACCTGATGTATTTGCCTTTCACTGTTAGGTAAGCTTCACAAGGGCTGAGAACACTGGACAGAGAGGACACACTCTGTAGGCATATGATGAAGGAAGGAAGGAATAATAGGGGTATGTACATGAGGCTCTGTGAGCATGGAGAAAGGGGTAAATTCAGCTTTGGCTGGTTCTGGAAAGGATGACAGCCGAGCTGAGTTCTGAGGGATGAGCAGTTTAAGTTGGACAAGTCTCTCTCCGGACTAGGCCTGCAAGTGTCCTCACCTGCATCCCCAACTCTCCCCCACCTCACTTGCAGCCTGTTCTAGTGGAGACTTTTCTCACTTATTTGGAGGTTCTCCAAAACATATGGCACAGGGACTTGCATTCATTCATTCCACAAATATTTATAAAGCACCGACTAGGTACCCATTGCTGTTCTACATAGAGGGGAAGTTTTTAACATTTCTTTAAATTGAACTGCATTAAAAAAAAGTCTGGGATTTTAAGTCTCTTTGGTCAAAGTGAGCTTTTCATAAAATTCAGATGATATGTCCTTTAAAATATAAAATAGTTCCATACACACACACACACACACACACATATATAACAGAATACTATTCAGCCATTAAAAAAATGGAATCTTTCCACTTGCAACAACATGGATAGACCTTGAGGTTATTATGCTAAGTGAAATAAATCATACAAACACTGTACTATCTCACTTGCATGTGGAATCTAAAAAATAACCAAACCAAACAAAACCAAACTCACAGATCCAGAAAACAGACTGGTGGTTGCCAGAGGGGAGAGGAGGGTGGGGGAGTGGATGAAATGGGTGAAGGGGGTCAAAAGGCACTAACTACCAGTTATAAAATCACTAAGCCATGGGAACGCAATGTACAGGAGGGTGACTACAGTTAATACTGTATATTCAAATAGTGCATATTTGAGAGTTGCTAAGAGAATAAATCTTAAAAGCCCTCGCAAAAAAAAAGAAAAAACATTTATATCTATGTATGGTGATGGATGATAACTAGACTTATGGTCATCACTTCATAATGTATACACGTATCAAATCATTATTTCGTCCACCTGAAACAAATATAACATTATCTATCAATTATATCTCAATTAAAAAACATAAAATACTTCCTGAAACACACAATCAAGATTTTCAACATCAAAGAGAGCACAGAGCCCACTGGTAACTTGCTTCCAAAAACTGAATTCTCATCTCTACAGAGGGCAACAATCCCCTTAGTTTACTTTAGTGAAATTTACAATGATGATGATGATGAAACTTGCCAGCTACTCTCCATGCAGGGACCATGATTCAATATCCAGGAAAGACAGGGGTATAATCTGGAAAACCCCCATATGAACAGGCTTTTCTCTCTGTTAATGTCCCACACTAACACCAGAGTAGTGACACGTGAATGGGGTTTGCAAGAGAGTAATATCACAACCAAAAACAGGCAATATGAGCACAGAAAGAATGCAATGGACTTAAAACAAAACAAAAACTTGATACTATTAACTCAGCAATACCTTATGTAATGATTTTAATTACAGAAGAAAGATATATCAATAACAGTATAAAAACCATAGTGTTCTCTGAACAAAATAATAATAATAGAGAAAAAGTCTCTGTTAGAAAGCAACAAATTAGAAATATGACCTGATGTCACTCTGAAATATTTTAAACAAATTCCCATTCATTAAATTTGTTTTATCCTATGTTCTTTGAAAAAAATTGATGTACAAGTGTCACATGATTCTCTCTATATAAAGAGTTTCCCATTTTCCCAAATTAAAATTAAAATCATAGTTCTCTTTCTTTCTCAGTAAGGACAACTGAAGATATTTCCATTCTACTGCACTGAGTTATTTCCTGAGTCATTCTTGTTGGTTACTGTAAGAAAAGTATTTTAATGACTTAAGAGAGTGGTTACAGTGTGAATTTGTTTTTCAGTTACACAGTTTCATTGGTGAGTTCATCTAATTCTTAACAAAAAAAATACATAATGGCTTCATTTAAAAAAAAACAACAAACAACATACTGCTGATGGTGGCTGACAAGTTATTATTGCCTCTCTGTTGAAGACACAGATGAGGGAAAGAGAGAGTGAGTGCACAAACACATGAAGTTGAGCACCCAAGCACAATGTAATCACTCTAGATGCAGGTGTAAGAGAGTGTCAGAAAAGCAGAATGGAACTGATGGACCAAAGGAGAAAATTCTGAGTGACTCATCTCAGTAAATCAGAATCTCATACTTAGCAGGCAACAAACCCCTGAAGAACCCATCACTTATCCCAAAGATACACAGACAGTAAATGATATAACTCAAGGTCCAGCATTCCTCCTGCTTGCCTCTTGGACTGGCCACGACTCACCTGGCAGCAGGAAGCACATGCTGCACCGTACAGAGCCCCACCAAACTGCCTTAATGGTCTGACTGTGGCAAAGCAGAAAGATGCTTACTTGGATGTCACTGGAGAGGATGACCGCTTAGAAATGCTTCCTGGAAACTCACATCTTCTCAGAGGAGACCCGAGGCCCACACTGGGAACGGAAGCTGTTGTTCGAGGACCTCTCTTCATCTTCTCTGTCTGAAGGGCACACAGAATAGGTCAGCCATGGCCCATAACTGGTAATACTTCTACAATTTCTATAAACACCTCAGATAAAAGTGATACATAGCTTTCTTTCAGAAAGATCTATATGAAGCTACAGTGCTTCCCACAATGGGCATATCTGCAGGGAAGCACCATGAGATCATCATAGTGAGGTCATCCAATAAAAAAAAAAAAAAAACACTTCCGCCCCAAAATGCAAAGACTTTCTATTCTTTGTTCTCTTGCAAAAAGCTGACAACATAACCATGCGATGATTCTGGACATATAGAAACTGGATTACTGGGGGAGGCTGCATGGCTCAGTCAGCTAAGCATCCGAGTCTTCAGCTCGGCTCAGGTCATGATCTCACAGTTCGTGGGATAGAGCCCTAAGTCAGGCTCTGCACTGACAGCTTAAGATTCTCTTTCCCTCTCTCTCTGCCCCTCCCCCACCTCAAAATAAAGAAATAAACCAAAAAAAAAAAAAAAAGAAAAGAAACTCAATCACTCATCATCAGGAAAATGCAAATCAAAACCGTCATGAGCTATCACCTCATACCCATCAGAATGGCTAAAATCAAAAACAAAAGAAACAACAGGTGTTCACAAGGATGTGGAGAAAAAGGAATCCTCATGTGCTGTCAACAGGAATACAAACTGGTGCAGCCACTATGGAAAACAGTATGGAGGTTCCTCAAAAAATCAAAAATCCAGTAATTCCTCTAATGAGTATTTACCTAAAGAATACGAAAACACTAACTCAAAAAATATATATATGTACCAGGGGTGCCTGGGTGGCTCAGTCATTTAAGTGTCCAACTTTGGCTCAGGTCATATCTTGCAGTTCGTGAGCTTGAGCCCTACGTTGGGGTCCGTGCTGTCAGTGCAGAGCCTGCTTGAGATTCTCTTTCTCTCTTTCTCCTGCTCTCTCTCTCTCTCTCTGTCGCTCTCCCTCCCTGCCCTTCCCCCGCTCGCAAACACTCATCCTGTCTCAAAATAAATAAACTTAAAAAAAAAGATATATGCATCCCTAGGTTTATTGCAGTTTTACAACAGCCAAATTACAGAAGCAGCCCAAATGCCCACAGATACATGACTGGAGTATGTGGCATAAATGTCCAAAAAAAAAAAAGAATATGTGGCATATATATATAATGGAGTATTAGCCATAAAAGAGAATGAAATCTTGCCATATGCAACAACATGGACCGATCTAGAGGGTATTTTGCTAAGTGAAATAAGTCAGTCAGAGAAAGACAAATACTCATACGTGGAATTTAAGAAAGAAAACAAATGAAGACAGAAAAAAAGAGATAAACCAAAAAACAGACGAGAACAAACTAGTGGTTGCTGGAGAGGGGAGGAGATAGGCCAAAGAGGTGAAGGGGAGTAAGTGTATACTTACTGTGATGAGCACTGAGTAAGGTAGAGAACTGTAGAGTCATTATATTACACACGTTAAACTAATATAACACTATATGTCTGGACTGGAATTTAAAACATTTTTAAAAGAAAAAACTGGGAAGAGTACAAAAATATATAATCACTCAAAAAAACTACAGGTGGAAATAAATGTGGTTTTTAACACCCAGGACAGTGAGCTGTGGACTCTTAACAGTGTACCTGGTGACTGCAACCCCATAGACTTGTCCCTCTAAGTCTTCTCCATGGTCTCTGGTCAGCAAGAGGCAGTAGGCACGGCCTCCGTGCCTGGCATGTAGCGGGGGCTCCACAAGGGTGGTTCCCTTCTCTCCCCATTGCACTTCTCCACAACAAATCCTCATTTGGCCCTCCCGCTCCCACACACGTTAACCCCCTTCCACAGTAATTGACTTTTTAGTAAAACCCAAGGGTCTAACACACTTACTTCTCATGTAAGAACCTCAGGGTCACAGTGGATTTTAAAAATACAAATGGTGGGGCGCCAGGGTGGCTCATTTGGTTGAGCATCCAACTCTTGATGTCGGCTCAGGTCAGGAGCTCACAGTTGCTGAGAATGAGCCCCACACTGAGCTCAGCTTGGAGAGCGGAGCCTGCTTGGGATTCTCTCTCTCACCCTTTCTCTCTGTCTGCCCCCCACTCATTATCTCTTTCTCTCTCAAAATAAATAATCTTTAAAAAATCTTAAAAATACATGTAGCATTATAAAAAATGCCCAATAGTACAGTAATGTGGTATTTTTAAGACAAGTCCACATGTCGTTTGATGCTCCTTGAGTGAGTGTGGGTTGGTCTCAGTGACCTGTTTTTAATGAACAGCATATGGCAAAACAATGGTATGTAACAGGTGAGATTAGTGCATAAAAGGTGCTATAGCTTTTCCCTTGTGCGTGAACACACACACACACACACACACACACACACACACACACACACAGCATGTGCTCGGTCTCTGTCTCAGATTTCCTGCTCTAGAGGAAGGCAGCTGCCATGTCATTTGGACACTCAAGCAGCTCTATGAAGAGGTACACACAATAGGGAACTGAAACCAGCAGCCATGTGAATGAGCCATTCTGTAAGAGCCCCAGCCAAGCTTTCAGATGACTACAGCTCTGGCCATCATCCTGACCACACCCTCATGAGAGACCCTGAACCAGAATTACCCAGCTAAGCCATCCTCAATTTTTGACCCAAAGAACCAGTGCAGTAATAAACATTTGTTTTAAGCAGCTAAGATTTGGGGTGATTTGTTATGCACAACTGATAACTAAAAAAAGTAGTATGGTATGTATAATTTCTAAATAAATATACATAATTGGGAGTACCTGTTCAACTTTTACTGATGGTATCAATATTATGTCAAAAATGTTTGAAGGCCACTGTTATGGATTGAAGGCTGACCTAGAACCTTAGTTCTAGTCGCCCGCAGAGGCAAGACTGGCCCAGAGTCAGACATTCTTAAAAGCAGAGAGAGGACACTCAGAGCATTCTATTTGACTCCTGTCCTCCGGAGGGCAGGCTATAATAAGGACAAGGTCTTTAGGAAGTTGTTCCAAGGCACTAAGATTTAGGAAGATGCAAAAAGTTAAATGGTTTTCCAAGGATGGATGAAATTTTAAACCAAATTCACCACTTGAGCAGTCTCTGGAGATTGATGGAAACAGAGACCCCAGGTTAAGCACAGGGAATAATCACACTGTTAGATAAACCAGTCCTGAGGTGAGTGAGTGGGTTTCAACCTACCGGAGAGGCCTCCGCTCCTGCAGGGGCTCCTTTCCCAGAATCTCCTGTGCCAGATGTAGATGTAGTCTTCTTCCTCTCAGCACTCCGAGTGGGAGAAGACTTGTAAGAAGATTTAAGAGGGCCAGCAGGAGCTACACGAGGATAGGCATGGGATACTAGAGAGTTAAAATATCACAAAGAGACAGGGAGCACAGATGGAAAAAGTAGGGGGAGCAGGGAATTGGGAAGAACACATTTCTGTTAAAATGTGACATGGGCAATGCACATTCTCCAAATATCACCAAACTTTTTCTAGTATATATGCAGAATAGACACTATCTTGAAAGACTCCCATACTCAATGCTCAAGAGCCCAGTTAATTTCATGAGTTCAAAGTCTGGGCTTTGGAACCAGACAGAACTAGCATTGTCACCAAACAGCTAGATCACTTTGGGCAGGTTACTTAACCTCTCTAAACATCAATTTCCTTGTGCAGTTCAAGAGTTAACACAGCAGGCCTGACTACTGTCTTTGGAGAGGCCTACTTACAAGATTGGCCCCTGATCAACACCTGGGAACTTAGATTTCAGAAGGGCTCTTACCCTCTAACTGACCAGTAGCTCACTGTGCCTCTGCTATTTGTATAAACAACATGACTTATTGTGGAATTCGGGTATATAATTGACAGAGGGTGCCTATGTGACCAGCCCTCAATGAAAACCCTGGGCACCGAGTCTCTAACGAGCTTTCCTGGTCGGCAACATTTCACATGTGTTATCACAGCTCGTTGCTGGGGGAATTAAAGCACGTCCCGTGTGACTCCACTGGGAGAGGACTCTTGGAAACTTGCACCTGGTGTCCTCTGGACTTTGCCTGTGTGCCAGTTCCTTCTGCTGATGTGCTGTGCAGCCTTCCATTATAACACATCACGGCTGTGAGTGCCACCATATGCTGAGTCCTAGCAATCACAAAACCTGGGGCTG